ATCATGTCTACAACTCGATGTCCTCTCGATTAATCTGGGGTAGCAATCACCAAAAATTCCTTGAATTAAAATGGTTTCTGTCTAAAGATAGCGATCGGCGTCCGATGAAAACTGAAGATTATAATAAAACAGTAGAAGTGAGTGCGGCGGAAACATCCCGATCACAAAGAATGCGTTTATTATTGATGATGTTTACAAAACTTGAAAATATTTCTTCCCTCACAGGACACGCCCATAACCTTGTAAACACCGCAGCTTACCTTTTGCAAGAATATCCACGAATAAATTAGGCCAAAAATTACATTACACAAGGAAGTTGTTAAACGAGCCGGTGAGTAAGGAGTCAAACTTTGATTTAAATTCTACTTACGTATATAATAGTATTCCACACTTTTAGGTTGATAAAATCCGTTAAACTTGGCATCCATAAACAACTCCATTGTTTGCGAAAATAAATTTTCTTCCCGTGTAAAAGACTTTTGTTACCTAATCGAGCAATCTATGTTCTGCACATGGCACCCCGGGGCTATGAGCTCGATTCGAATATGTAACGGCGTGTGGTGACGGCCTCTAACCCAAGGGCCAGCCGCAATTCACAAGCTCGTTGGCCGCTCTAAGTTTGTGTCCTGCGGATGGCGCTGGTGATTTTGGAGTAATAAACGATTCAAAGAAGTAAATGATGAAGAACGGGGAAGGAATTGCGAAGAAGAATGGAATAGGAACGGTTCCCTGTCCTTCATCCTTTGACTCTCTGAGGCTCTGGCACAACCCACAAAGTTCACTTGAATACCTTGTCAAAACCAAGTATCGAGATACCGGGGGTGGGCCGTGGAACCTTGCCCCCATAAAAAACTTGAGTAGTACAAGTTAAATGCATTTATTTTGTAAAATATGGCTGTTGTCAAACTTAATTATAAAGGCTGCCCCCCCCCTCCCCCGAAAACAAAGAGTTTCATCGCGTTCTTTGGTCAAAGTATATCGTCTTAAGTTTAGAGGTCGTGACCTTTCAACCTTTTTTATCTTTCGTTCTTTTATGGGCAATCTATAAAAAAGCTGCGATTGATTTTGCTTTAAAAATTAATATCTACAACTGAAAAAATTGCGAAAACCGAGAAGATTTAGTCTCTGACCAAAGAGTCGATGATGCTTCATGTAAGGATCCCTTGCGTGATGATCTGACGAAGGCACAGCCCTTTGAAGACCTGTGAAATTAGTCACGGAATCAAAACTTTCCGGATACGGAAATAAGCATCTTTGCAAATAAAAAGACTTTAGGAGGTGTAAAGTGGATTTGGAACAGCCGAGGTGAAAATGCTATTTTAGGCTTCCGGCTTTCTTTTTAGTAATATATCAGTGAGTCTCGGGGTTTCTGTCACAGAGAACGGGGGAGTTTGAAAATTTGGGGTTCACATTGGTTCAAGTTGCCCTTTCCTCAGCGAAATCGACCCTTATTTACACGGATAGAGAGTGTCATACTATTGTATCGTTACATGAAGTACTGTGTGTTTATACATTTTTTATAAGAACCAGTAAATTTTAGTTCAGGCTGACTGTTCTTAATTTCGAAAATCTGCGGCTGGATTGTTCTTAATTTGTTCTTAAATTTATAGGATGTAAGCAGTGCGATTGCTAGCTTTTTCGCTCTAGGGCGGTGTACAGGCCTCATTTGCCAAAAACGTGAGTGAGACAACCTTCATTTGCCGACAAGTTTGAATATTAACCAAAAGGACACCCACACATCGCTAAAAATCCTCGTTTATGAGATAAAACGTTGTTGAAAATTGCATTTTACAGTAGCTCAGCCTCAGCTTGTTCTTAATTTGTTCTTAGCTTTTGGCAAATTTTGAGGCCCGTGTTCTTATAAAACTTTTCGTGTAAAAAAGAGTGTAATTAAAAAGGCAACGACAATGAGTATGACACTGTCAACTTACACCCATATCGTATTTAGGATAGGATAGACCCTATATTTGTAGGAACTAGAAAGCTGATTCTCAGACTGGTTGTTCTTGATTTAACATAAAAGTCTGAGACCAGATTGTTCCTAATTTGCTTTTCAATTGTTGGGGGAGTCTTACCCTATTTTTTTCTATATAGTGAGTCTGGTACCCAGGGTAGGGGAGTCTAGAAACGAGACGATATCTCACTACTGAAAAACATTGCCCTTATTTAGTGTATAAGGTATTGCTTCTATAATACCATTAGCAAAAAGTGTATCCTGTTATGAAAGACCTACGTTCTTTTATCCAGAGAAGCGTACACTCGAAGAGGGTAGTAGGGACACAAGAGGTAGGCTTAATTTGTCACCGTTTAAATCGTAAAGCGGGCATTGAGGGCCGCAAAGTGGCTTCAATTATCATAAGAAGGGTATTAAATCGGAAGCAAAAGATGCTTGGCTCACGTCAAAATTTGAGTACAGATATAACGAACAATTTAATATAAACAAAATTTCTTCTAAGAAATCCGAATCTGGCCATTGAATACCACTTCAGTAGAAATGTTAGAAAATCTTGTTCTGTATTTGTGAATACCCCCTGACGTGCGAAAAATGCTGTTCGGCGTCCATAGGCTAGCGGAGCGGCCCGAGCGATATTGAAGGATTCTCTGCGAACAATGATTTGAATTCTAGCATTACGCAAAGGATTGGCCCGGGATAAGCTGCTTTAACTTCTTTTATTGTTTTGTCTCAAGCACTCAAAACACGACAATAGGGGAATAAATCGATTGCAAAACTCCATACCATGCAAAGGGGCCTGGGGAGGATAAACAACGGTTACTCCACTGCAAGGAAATCCCTTCCCATTATCCGATGTGATGTCATTGTTTATAAAAAGGTCTGGTTACAATCCTTCCCGATGTGATGTCACTGTCTATAAGAAAACTGGGTACCAAGCGAGAAAATTCCTTCCCATGATCGGACGTGATGTCATTGTATATAAGAGGTCTGGGTCCAATCCTTCCCGATGTGATGTCACTGTTTATAAGAGGACTGGGTACTAAGCGAGAAAATTCCTTCCCATGATCGGACGTGATGTCACTGTATATAAGAGGTCTGGGTCCAATCCGCCCCGATGCGACGTCACTATTTATAAGAGGACTGGGTCCCAAGCGAGAAAATTTCTTCCCAAGATCTTATGTGAAATGTATATCATAGGGCTAGGCCCAAGTGCTTGGTAGTTTGTCTTGCGTTTGATTCTGGTGGTACCTTCATGGAGAATCAAGATGGTAGCCTTTGAATAGCAAACAGGCCTAAATTATCGAGGAGACGAACAAGAGAGAGTCTTTCATTGAGTGAGGCAACCCTCAGTACTGGACAGGGAAGCCTGCACTCGAAGAGGGAAAAGGGGACAAAGCGCCAAGCAAAAGGAAAAAACAATAGTAAAACAAAGAAAAATATTGAATTTCGCCAGGGCAAGAGGGTCACTGTCCCGGCTGTCCCCTGGCGCAGGCTTCCTTGGTCCTGGAGTCGAAGAGCATGCGGGACAGAACCAAGTCTATACTACGCGTGCGTTTTGCCTCTTCGACGGTTTCACTTATGACTCTCTTTCTTTTTCTTATTTTACATAGGATCGTCGAATTTATTGACTCAATGTCATTAGCTGAATGTATTTCACCTTGTTTAAAAAAATATAAATGAGAGGTGACTATTGAAAGGTCTCGTCTTTAAAAGAAGGATTTTCGATTTATTAAGATGCTATTAGGCTGTGCCTTTAAAGAAAAATTTGAAAACAATTTGCCCTCTTTGGCTACAGTTTTCTCCAAATGATAAGTTTGGCATGATTAGAATTCCGTGAGATTATTGCTTTTGTGAGAGGGGATTCCTTAATTAAGAAATATTCCAAATAAACACCATATTTGCTGTTTTAGATATGATTTCTTGCTCAAAAGCTTGCCCCCCTTACCCCTCTCCCCACCTGAAGCATGGTTTCTGCTCGAATTTGACCATCAAGGCTGATATCTACTGCTACGTAGTTGCGTATAGCGTGACACTGTGGAGGAGACTAAGTCACTGCTGCCTAAAATCCATATGCAACGCGTTACTGTGCAGCAAAACGCTTTGGAGGAGACACCAACAAGGGAAGCACAAAAGCTGGTCCTTGTCAATCAGCACCTCAATCCCCTTAATCGTGTATATACGCGAATTCCGTTGAGAAAATCTTTCGGAACCTATGATGATTTAGGCCCCTGCCGAACGCGGTCTGACGTTTAAGGTTGTTACTCCGCAGAGGCGAGAAAGTCAAAAAGACTTGAGCCGGAGCGTCAAATCAGGATGATGTTTTGATTGTGTGAAGAAAACTCAACAAATGGGTAAAAAAGGTGAAATTGCTGGGCCGAGAATGCATAGCAATGATACCATGCAGGGCAGGGGGGGGGGGGGAAGACAACCGAAAGTAAAGAGAACGAAGCACCAGGCCTCAACCCACCGCCTTATTTGAACCCTCCTGTACTATTCTAACCCCACCGTCCTTTTCTAACAACGTAACCCTATTTTAACCCCGACGCCCGATTTCAACCCCACCCCCATTATCTGTTGTTAGGATTGTTCCCAGGATAAGAAAATTATAGGAAAAGGAGTGGATGCATCTCTTTAAGTTGCGAATTGAAGGGGTGATGAACTAAAATCCAGCACAAAAATTTGAATAAAAAAAATGTGTGTAGTGTGTGTGTGTATGAGGGGGAGGGGGGGGGGGTTGGTAGAGAGAGTAGTGCAAAAATACAAAATAACAATCAAGAATAGATTCGCCATGTTTTCAGGGGAACATCATTTTAACGACTACGAAGGGCTTTAATGAGAATAATTTCAAAAAATGATTCGGGCGGCGTTCCGGGGAGCAAAGCATAGTCTTCGGACTAACCAGCCTTTCGCCGAATCGCACCTTCCAGGCAACGATTTACCTTGCATTGTAAACTTGACGCAAAACAAGTTACAATTAAGCATATTCTGAGAACAGAATTATTGCAATTTTCGCAAAATTAGAAAATTTGCAAAAGTATAGACTTACCCATGTAATAGGAATCCCCACTTGATATGCCTCCTTTTGGTGATGCATACTGTAGATTGGGATCTCCCCCTTGCGATAACATATCTTCGGGAGTTGGTGAGTACACCTTGAATAAAGACAAAAACATAAATAGGCATAGAGAGGAATAAGACATGCATCTTCAGCTTGTTGCAACAAAGATGCTAGGAAAAAAGGCTTTCTAGCTAGAAGCCAAAGGTGGTTTTAAGGACACTGATTAGCTATGATTATCGAGTAGTGCCCAGGTTCTTTCTCTCGACATAACCACATCTCATGATTCCTTGCAACTCATAGATTCTTAGGCAAGGGAAACATAGAGCTAGCGACTCTCCTTACACTAAGTTAAAGTTTGGTCGTGGAAAGAACAGGCACCGCGAGCCACCCCACCCCCACCACCTACTTTCCAAACGCCGCTTTGGAAAGTTTACTTTAACGGATCATAACTATTTAACATTTCATTTTCACCATTATTTAATTTTTATTTCGGTAATCCATGTATATTTTAGACAGGTCCTTTATTGATAACAGCACGTTGTTGTTGACCAAAGTTAACCTGTATAAATATGATATTATTATTATTATTATATTTTAGCAGTTCGTCTTGACTGGGAACCCTTTTTGTTCATTTTCTTGGTGTCTTACCATGTTTAATCTTTTTTTATAGTGATTAATATATTTTCTGAATAGGACTGTTCATAAAAAATAAGTGGAAAGAAGCAAGTATTTTCTATAAGGGGCGTTTTATGGCGTTCTAAAGGCTCAAAAAATTCTAGGCCATGCCCTTTTCAGCCCACCCACTTTTAGAATGGTGCGCGGTGCCTTGGAAAGGAGACTTTGATCTGTAGTCCTCAACCCATAATACCACGAACTACGTGACCTCATCTCTTGATTACTATGCTTAGAAATACAGAGGGGTGGCGACTGTCCTCATTCTAAATAAAAGTTTGATGATGTCAGAGACTCGAACTTTAGATCCTTGAATCCATAGTCCGAGTCTCTAGCCACTGAGTTATCCCTAAACCTTAAAAGTGTCAATCATAATTCGAGATAGAGAATGTTTGATATAGCTAATGTTCGAGATAACGGATTTTTACACAACCAAGGTGTCCTTAGGCTAAGAAGGTTATATATTTAAAACAAGAACCATTAAACTCATTTTGAAAGTCAGCCACTATAATAATTAATCAGAAACAAAATAAAGCCAATGTTTTAGTACCCCCAATGTTCTTTTCACAACACTACACCCTCTTCTATCGCTCTTAGCTCCCATGAAAGGATGTAGAGCTGTGGGAGGGGTTAGAGGGCTGAACCCCCTTTGCTAATGCCTAATGGTAGCTTTTTTCTACTATTTGCTAAGGTTTGTTTATAATTTCTTGTGAAGGGGACCCTCTTTTTCTTTTCATACCCTCTTACAAACATGTTTAAAGCTGTATAACTCCAGAACTAAAATCTCCACATCGTAGATTTTAATTTCTATCCCCTCTAGCAGTTTATCTAAAATTAGATTAAACGTCTCAAATCAAATTATACCAAGGTAGATTTTTTACAACTTAGAGTCAACTTAAAAGTTGTATAATGATTAAAACCGCCTAATGGTTTTTGTAGGAAATTCTCACATATTTATTGGCCGACAAGCATTTTAAAAGGCGGAATTGACAATCTGTAAAATGTAAGCTTTGGGTTAGAGTTTAATTACTTGTGAAATATACAATCGGTTTTCTGATGTCATATCAACTTTCCTTCAATCGCAAACCGTCTTGCTATTAAAACGCATTCCTAGTTTTTGTCCAGCATTATCATGATCACAAACAATTGCATCAATTTGAGCCATGTTAGCTACAACCCTTCACAAAATATATTGAGACCAATAATAAAATCCGAACAAAGTTATTGACAGTAATCTACTAGATTGTATTTGACCCCCTCCCTCTTAAAGCAATGTTGTTTGTTGAGATCTTGTTATTGTATACGGTCTTTGAGGGGGCGGGGGAGGGAAGGGGACGGTGGAAGGGTTGAGCAACAAATAAGTCTGAAGCTTTAGTCAAAATTACGAAGAGTTTACGAAATCACTTCGATTTTGTTTTGGAAAAATACGCAAGATAGACATTGGCATTTATGTGAGGTGGGAGGGGAAAACAGTCTTACAATTTTTGTGGATGATGGCAGGGGTGTAGTGATAAGGGGACTCAGGGGGGCTGTTCTTTTTCCAAGTTCTTATTTTTATGAAAAGGTTCTTTTGAGCTGATCTTTTCATAAAACTACCTACTTGAATAGATCAACTTTAGTAATGTGAGGTGGGAGGGAAAACAGTCTTACAATTTTGTGGAAGATGGCAGGGGTGTAGTGATAAGGGGACTCAGGGGGGCTGTTCTTTTTCCAAGTTCTTATTTTTATGAAAAGGTTCTTTTGAGCTGATCTTTTCATAAAACTACCTACTTGAATAGATCAACTTTAGTAATGTGAGGTGGGAGGGAAAAACAGTCTTACAATTTTTGTGGACGATGGCAGGGGTGTAGTGATAAGGGGATTCAGGGGGGCTGTTCTTTTTCTAAGTTCTTATTTTCATGAAAAGGTTCTTTTGAACTGATCTTTACATAAAACTACCTCCTTGAATAGACCAACTTTAGTAATGTGAGGTGGGAGGGAAAAACAGTCTTACAATTTTTGTGGACGATGGCAGGGGTGTAGTGATAAGGGGACTCAGGGGGGGGGCTGTTCTTTTTCTAAGTTCTTATTTTCATGAAAAGGTTCTTTTGAACTGATCTTTACATAAAACTACCTCCTTGAATAGACCAACTTTAGTAATGTGAGGTGGGAGGGAAAAACAGTCTTACAATTTTTGTGGACGATGGCAGGGGTGTAGTGATAAGGGGACTCAGGGGGGCTGTTCTTTTTCCAAGTTCTTATTTTTATGAAAAGGTTCTTTTGAGCTGATCTTTTCATAAAACTACCTCCTTGAATAGATCAACTTTAGTAAATGTGAGGTGGGAGGGTAAAACAGTCTTACAATTTTTGTGGACGATGGCAGGGGTGTAGTGATTAGTTCTAAGTTCTTATTGTCATGAAAAGGTTCTGTTGAGCTGATCTTTTCATAAAACTACATTTTTTAATAGAGCAACTTTAAACAGCGTAATCAACGAATCAACGACAGAATCATCGTTATCATGATCATAATAATCATTACAAACGTGATTATTTTCTTCGTAACCATCAAAACAATCACCCTAATCGGCATCTTAGCTATGATCATAACCACAATCACTCTATTTATGATTACCATCAACCAATCAATTTTGTAATTATCTTCAGTCGCTCCAACCATAATCATTTTTCCTCACACTACAGAAACCCTTAACTCTATTCCATCGAACTTCGACACCCGTGAAAACAATCAGCAATTCACCAAACAAAAACCAACTGCAATACTGAAACCATACATAAAGCCTACACGCTTATGAAACTCTGAGGTATTTAAGCACTTTACCACTCTGTTTTGTTAAACCTTTGGCCAAATCTAAGGCTGATCAATTGAGAATAATCAACCTCATGATTTGAGGTTTTGTTATTGAACGTCGCACGTGGGCCATTGTTCTGCCTTGTGTGTTGCACGGCTCAGAAAATCCCTTTGGCTTGAAAAATACTTGCTGGATTGCTATGAGGAGTTCGTTTACAGGAATGTATTTTATCGCCAGTAATGAATGTAAACCGGATAAGGTCTTGAATCAAGTTATACAAACATGAATTCAAAATTATGAGGTCGTGTACAATTTTAGGAGACTGGATTTTGCCCAAAGGTGTCAAAGCCCTTTATTTTACACTGTGTCTACTCACAGGAAAGTGAACGAGGATCTTGAACCCTTTGAGCATTATATGCGTAGAAACCTGTAACAGGTATCAAAAGTAAACAAAAAAACGAAATGGCTGTGATATTTTGATTTCAACATGACACAGTGGGCATGAAGACTTTGCTAGGAATCATTTCAGTTCATAGTTACTTACTAAACTAAACTAATAGTTACTTAGAAATTACTAAAATATTTTCTTGATTCCATCATGGCTTTTTCAATGCCCCTTTGCCTAATTCAACACCATTTTTTCGGATAAAGAAAACATTTCTTGAACTTCAAAAAGCTCTTCGTTCTTCCTGCTAGAACTAAAGATAAGTTTCCACTAAACGAAAGCCGGTGAACCTGCCGACAGGTTAAAACAAACAAGATGAAAGACAAACAAATAAACAAAAATTGTTTGGCAAAGAAACTTTGCTTTGTCATGAGAAAATATAAATGATCGGTTTCGCAAATCTTGTTGTGGTAAAAATACCGTCAGATTTAACATAATTTTTGCCGTTGTATTCTTAAATAGTAATTCCAAACTAAAAACATGAGAGACTAGTTGAAGACTGAAAAATTATCAATAACGTAGGATAGGGTTTCTACCGCATGTAGAAACAAGATAGGATTTCACAACATTACAAAACCGCTCGATCTAAAGCTTATAAAATGTCCAAACTTCTTTTCATGCAGTACTGTTTTTATTTTTGTATTCCACAAGCCTCTTTATCTATAACACGGCTCCTTATTTGATTTTGATCAACGAAAAAGTTTGAAATCTCGCACTGAGACCTACAACATCACAAACCGGAGCAAAATTTCTTTGTTTGCTAAATTGCTTTAAAGAAGGCCGGGCGTTTCGTTTTTCATAACAAAATATCATAGATTAGATAGGTGAAATTCTCGCTTTGCTATGGCAAAATGCGGGTTGAGCGATCGAAAGATCAAAATAAAAATGGCCTAATTGAACGGCGATCGAATATGAAATATACACAGCATTGCAATGGTTTCGCTTACCGGCATAGTCAACAGGAATTTTGCCATGCTCCCTGTGGTATTTTGTGGCCGACAGAACGCAAAGACAGGTGTTAAATTCCGAACACAACCAGCTGCTAACAGACTGATTCTTGAAACTTCTTCTTGAGCGATCCCAACTTTATGTTCAAGCCCATAAAAAATCGCACGGGAAACTCTGTGCGGCAACATCGACAATCAATCGACTTTGTTGTGAATTCGAAAGGAACACGTGATGCCTCGGTGATTCCATTGTTTACAAACAGCGGGCGATTAAGGGAGCTAGTAACTAGTGATGTCATTTCAAATAACTTTTGAGTATTGAAACATGGAAAACCACTTTCAGTTAGGGGTCAACAAAGCTGGGAGTCTAAGGGGGCTTAGCCGACAAATTATTCTTAAAGTTTGCTTGAACCGTAATCTAGTAATCTTGATTTAGGCATTGCAGCATGTTTAAGCCCAAAGCATTCACCCCCTCCCAAACCGATTCGTAATATTTTCGGCGGTCACTGCTTTCCAGTGCTTATTTCCAATCTTTCTAATACACTTTTATCGTTGAATAAATAAACAAATAATAAAACAGTCAACTCCGTTTAATTCGAACTGCCTGAGGCTTAATCAAAATGTTGGGATTATGAAAAGCTCGAAATGTAGACGTTTGTGTTATAAGGTTATAGTTAGAGTTTTTCAAGGGGCCTGAACAAGTTGTTCGAAATAGTAAAAGTTTGAATTGCGCGAGTTTTAATAAGACAGGGGCTATATTACTTAATTAGCGAGACTCGGCAGTATTGCTTACTATTGTAACACAAATAGATAGTGCTGTCATAAATACTGATTGCTGTCAGAAAGTAATAAAGTTATAAAAAATGAAAATACCTAAAAAAGTGAGATACTTCGTAGATTGCGAATGTTGGGCAGCCTTATAAACAAGTAAAGTTCATTGAAGAAGCTAATGGGCCTAGAAATTTGAAAACTGAATAAAAAATACTTTGGTCACCACTCAGTATAACGGCACTGTGGATATTAATTAGATTAAAAGTAGAATTGGACTACAAAGCACAGCTATTTATTGTGAAGTTTTCTAGCACATCAAGTTTGATGGATGGTATTAATTATTGATCTTTACTCGCAGATTGACGTTAAACGATGACATCCGCTGTTAAAGTCAGTGTCGTTATTTTTACAGTGAATAATATATTCTGTGGTAGAAACTTTCGTGGCACTTATAGGAATAAGCCTGTTTTGAATCAAAGGCGAGGGAAATTTAGCGAAATGGATTTCATGAGAAGAGAGAGAACAAAATTCTGGTTTATATTTGCAACTATGATATAAAGTAGTTTTGATTAAATGCTGTTAACTGCCATTGGAAGTTAATTTTGCCTTTCCGCTAATGCGCATCAGTGGCGGCGCCAAGGGGTGGCTTGGGGGGGGTAATTACCCCCCTACTTTATTCGAAACATGGTCTACATATTTCGTCTAAAAACGGATTAAAAACACTAGGTAGGGGTAGATCATATTTCCTAAGGGAATTTGACCTGATACAAAGCACTGAAGCGAGGCAAATAGGGCGTGGTTTCACGGGCAACACCCATTACCCTCCCACTCTGCAGTAGCTGGCACCGCCACTAATGCGCATGTCCATATGATGTACTTTCTTATTGGTTCAGGAAAATGGTTGGAACAATGGCCATAAACAATAGGAATTTAGAGTTGTCTTCCCAACAAGAAATAAAAATACGTAGAGTGTCGGAACCCAGCGGATGTTTGAAAATGGAAACAATTCAGAAAACATCAAGATGGAAGTACAGTAGGCCTTCTCAGCCGAACGTCAAAAATCTTTGTCAAAATCCTTGACACGCCCGGTTTGATAATTGTTGTTTTAGTAAAAATAACAGATTCAAAATGCTTGCTTCTCTCATAGCCACTTTTAAATTCTGTACAACAACAAGACAATGTGAGCTGTAGAGTTGAATATAATAGTTCTCTGAAATGAATTAGCTGGACTACAGGACACCTCTAAACATTGTCTAAAAATATAATTGCTCGGAGGAGTGGAGGAGGGGGAGAGAAAGGGGAGAAAAGGGGGAGGGGGAGAGGAGGGGGAGGGGAGAGAGGGGGAAAAAGGTGATGCAGTAAAGAATGTTTTAAGAATTGTAAGTAGTGTATTGTTCGGAGAGTGGAGGAGGGGAGAGAAGAGAGGGGGGAGGAGAGGAGGGGGAGAAGGGGAGAGGAGAGGAGGGGGAGAAGGGGAGAGGAGAGGAGGGGGAGAGGGGGAGGGTGATGCAGTTAAGAATGCTTAAGAAATGTAAGTAATGTAAAATGACTTTTGACAGGAAAGCAGAAGAGAGCAACCATCCTGATCTTGTCGAAGAAAATTCTCTATCAGCTGCTGCTTTGCCCCATTCCATTGATACTTATTGATATTTCAGCTGCTGGTGCATTGATGTCTCCTGATTCTAGAGGGTTGAGATGTTCACAAGCTGCCCTAGCCAAAAATCACATAAATTGGCCCCATCCCTACGTACATCAAATTTTTTCTGGTATTTATTTTGCTTTTACATTGCTCTGTCACGAACGGGTCGCAATTTGCTCCCTTGTGACTTAGAGGTTTTTTTTCTGGCTTGAACGAAACTTCTGGCTGTATTAGAAAATTTTACAATGTAATTCGATTTTCAACCAGAGTGCTGTAGGAAACTTCTAGAAGCCGAATATCTCCGAAATGCTTTCATTGATGAAAAAGATCCTCAGGTGTGCTTATGAAATCGCTCAAACTATTCATCAACTCAAAAATACTGATAGAAAAATCGTTAATTAAAGAAAATCTATACGACAATGACGAGTTGCCAGCCCAGAATTCTCCAAACCAAACATGTGTTCCCTTATTAAGAGGGGGGCTTAGACCCTCTTTATAAGTTCTGAGGAAAAGGTCGTTCTCAGAATAGGAAACTTTCGCTACATTACATCCCATTGTTCTTATCAATCGAGGCCACGTCGATACCAGACAACGAGTCCGCCATTTTGTCTTAAGACGTTGCCTTGCCCTGAAGATCGTTTTGCTGCACCTACCGTTAAGCTAACTTTACTCGTATTCGCATTTAAAAAACCCCTTGAAAAAGCTGCATTTTAAAAGTTGCTATCATTTAAAAAAGTTATCAATTATGAAGAAATGTATTTAACTCAGATTTGAGATGTCCACTTAATCTGAAACATGATGTCTGGCCTAAACATGGCGTCGTACCGGAAGCTTCACACCGCAGCCAAACCATACGAAAAACCTCGGACGCAAATCAGAGTTGGAAGTAATAAGATAAGACTTCCTTTGATAACCTCGAAAGGACGAGACCCAGTTTTGAAGGAAATCAGAAATTATCAACATCTTTGGGAACACATAAACGTGTGAAGCTTTGCCTTTATGGTATCGAGCACTTTATAACAGACCGCTAAACAAATCTTCAATGTATATGGGCAAGGACAGATTTAACGGGGGTGTGAGGGTACGACACATCCAAAATTTATGTCATTCGGTAAAAGTCGCTTTGAATCGTTTAAAAATACTTTTGGTGGTCAGTAGTAGATAGGTAACGCCATACTTCACTTCATTCATTATCTTTGTCTTAAAGTTAACAAAATAATTGTAAACATTGGCATTTCAATTCAACAACGTAATGTCAAAAAATTAATTTAGTTAAATAACGACTTCCTAATTTGAAAGTTATATGCTAGAAACATCACAAATATATTTAACTCTTAAATGTCGTTATTTAATGATATCGAACTTTGTTTATTATCATCGCCGTACAATATGCTGAACTGCATCGGGTTTCCTGCATCTTATGGGTACCCGATATTATTCGGATAACACTATTAATCAGAAACAGAATATCAATTAATTATGCTATCATATCGTAACCGTTTATGATTGAATAGCATATCATATTATCAGTCGTTGGCCTTAAACGGGTGAAGAATCCATTCCCCATCACATTGTAGACGCCTTGATATCATGCCGTTGTCCGGTGACGTGAGATCATAGTTTCGCGCGCTTTTGAAATCACACGTGACTCAAAGTTGCTAAACAGTACTTTGCCTCGTTATGATAATAATGATAACGAGTTAACACTTACCGAGCGTATCGTTGCACTGCTGTTTTTACTGCTAGATTTGAACCGCCTCCCTACAGAAGAGATTAATACAATCATAGTACAATTGAATATCATCCGAAAACATATGGATATAGATAATGTATCAAAATATACATTTTATATCACTTATGTACTGTGTTTAATGTTTAGGAAACTGTATCTCTCACTGATGTGTATTGCGATGCATTGATTGGTTATTTCGTTTGCTTAAAGGCAGTCTGTCCCCTTCGTGATTGGCTAATTCTAACTTGAAAGCCTCGCCTTGACAGAGGGTCTTACTCTGCCTTTTTAGCATCCGACGTTAGTTATTGTGAGTGACAATCGAAACTAACTTAGACATTTAACACCAAAACAATTGATTGGTTATTTGTGATTAAACTAACAATGAAAATCGTGGCCATGAAAAGAGATTCCGAGAACAATGGAGGACAGACTGCCTTTAAAATTCCAATTCTAAAAATTCTAATTCAAAATTCTAAAATTGAGTGGAAGTTTTGATGCTGAACATGATGATTGCTATGAATATAGGATTGATTGACTGTAATAAAGACAATTGTATTTTATGACAAATTATTAAAAATAATATATGGTGAATAATTAAAGATGAATATTGTTAATGATAATGTTGATGATATCATTGATCATGATTGGTAATGATTATGATAATGACTGATTATGATAATATAATGATAATTTATGATAAATAATTAAAGATAATTTATGACGAATAATTAAAGATAAATATATATAGTGATAATGTTTATGATATGATTGATGATGATTGGTAGTGAATATCATAATGACTAATTATGATAAGATAATGCTAATTTATGATGAATAATAATTGATGACGATGATTACAGTGACTGATAATGACAAAGATTCCAGAACGTTATCATTGCAACAACTCACAATCTGGACTTGACATTCCCACTTCGCTATTGCTTTGGAAACCGCCAATTCCCTGAAAAATAATCATTTGTGAAAAAGCAATAATTTTTAAACATAATCAACTTTTTTCAGAGTACAGGGTTTAAGCTTTGCTGGAGGGAACTTCTAGAAGCCACACCCAAGATTACACCATACATTCTTGCGTTTGCGTTTAAGACTCTTGCGCAACCGGCATGCTTTGCGACTATATTTTCAAAAGCGGCCTAATATCGTACTGCATGAAAATACTAAAGACAATCAATTTCTCAAGACAGCTGTAGCTAAGCATGTTGATTGCGCAACAGCCTTTAAGGATTCGGCGGGCATGAAGAACCCGTACAGGTATAATGTTTCGCTAGATGTCATATTCGTAGGAGAGCGTTCCCTGACCCTAGGCGACCTGTAATTCATGTTTTCGGTCACTGGCTTTTTGGGCCAAGGATTGTAAGAGATCCCGTGTGTTGTATGACAAATTATACTTTTTCTGTGAATTTTCGCTGCCCTTCGGCAACCTCCTCAGAATTCTTACTAGGGAGGCTTCAGAAGGGCAGCGAAAATTCATAGAAATATTTTTGATCGTGTATGTGTGTTTTCAATTATGGTTTATAAACACATTAGAGATACCGAGTTACCTAAGTATGACCTGTAATTCAATGATGCAGTAATTAAACTCTTCGACGTGTATGGCAACGAGGGTAATCGGATTATCCTCACCGGATTTTTAAGCTTTGTCAAAGTTGTGTTTATGAAATAATCCAAACTATTCATCGACTTTGAAATACTTGTCGAAATTTCGCATTTAGGACAAAAAAAAATAAAAAAAGGATTTATCACACTACCAAGTAAAAAAATTGCCGAATCAAGCATATATTGGCTTGTTGAATGAGGACTAAGCACCCCCAAGTCTCTCTTAGTTTTAAAAAGGGGGCTTAGCATCCCTCAGCCCAGGTCCCCATCCACGGCAACACTGAGTTTAAAACGTCAGTGATCGAGATTGATCGAGAATTCTAAGCTAGAAAATATGGATCGCAGGGCCTTCAGTGTGTTTACAAATAATTGCACTTTTTAAAAACCATTTTTAAAAATTTGAATATTAATTATTCATTTACATATTTATCTAGAACCGTGCCATTTGTTTTCTCGAGATAACAGATGACAGAACGAGAATTAAATCTTCCATTTTCAACATTTTTTAATGGGAAAGCAATAAATCACAAATGC